TTACTTTGTGAAATATTTATTCTTCCAGTTTCCAGTTTATTGCGTTTTATAATTGTTGAGTTCTATGAATTCTTTATTACTCTTGGACACCAGTTATATATATATTTTGCAAAAATTTTTTAGTCTGAAACTTTTCATTTTTTTAAGTTGCTTCTGATAAGCAGATTTTTAACTTCGAGGAAGTCTAATTTTTCTCCTTTAAAATTTCTGTCATGAAGATAATTTACATCTTCTAAATGCTATATAGTTTTAGCTTTTACATTTAAGTCTATGATCCCTCTTGAAGTAACTTTTGTGTATGGTGTGAGGCAGGGATTAAAATTTTACTTTTTCATATGGATCCCCAGTGGCTCTAGCATCAACTGCTGAAATGACTTGCTTCCCCTCATTGAATTGCTTGGTTGAAAATCCAATGACTGGCTAAGTGTGGGTCTATTATTCACTTTCAGTTCTATTTCTTCAGTAGAATAGCCCTGTTCTTAAACAAACCACACTGTATTACTGTAGGACCATCAGAAGTCCTAAAGCCAGGTAGTGTAAGTCCTTTGGTTCATATGGTTTTTATACTTTCTCTTATTGATGTGATATATATCAGGTTGACTGATTTGCAAATACTGAATCACCACTGCATCCCTGGAATGAATCACTTGATCTTGGTGAATGATTTTTTTAAATGTATTGTTGGAATCTCTTTACTAGTACTTTGTGAAGGATTTTTGCATCTATATTCATCAGAGATATTGGCCTGTGGTTCTTTTCTTTGGTAGTGTCTTTATCTGGTTTTGTTATCAGGGTGATACTGGCCTCCCAGAATGAATTTGAGAACAGGTTAACTCTTCTTTAAATGTTTGGTAGGATTTTCCTGTGAAGCCATCTGGTACTGGACTTTTGTTTGTTGGAAGTTTTTTGGTTATTGATCCCAATCTCCTTGCTAGTAGTTGGTCTCTTCAGAGTTTCTACTTCTGCTTCAGTTTTGGTAGGTTATATGTTTCTAGGAATTTATAGGTTTCTTCAAGGTTGTCTAATTTGTCGGCATATAGTTTTTTGTAACATTCTCTTATACGACTGTATTACTGTGATGTTGGTTATTATTTCTCTTCCTTGTGATTTTGATTTTTTTTTTTCAAGAGTCTGACTAGAACTTTTTCAGTTTTCTTGATATTTTCAAAGGACCAGCTCCTGGTTTCACTGTTCTATTTTTCAGTTTCTGTATCATTTATTTCTGCTCTCATTTTTATTATTTCCTTCCCTCTTCTGGTTTTGGGTCAGGTTGTTCTTTTTCTAGCTCCTTTAGGTGTAAGGTTAGGTTGTTTGAGATTTTTCTTGCTTCTTGAGGTATTGCTATAAATTTCCCTCTTAGAACAGCTCTTGCTGCATTCCTAAAGGTTTTGGCCCATCGTGTTTTCACTTTCATTTGTTTCCATGTACTCCTTGATTTATCCTTTGATTTCTTGGTTGACCCACTCATTATTTAGTAGCATAGTATTTAATCTCCATGTATTTGTGGTCTTTCAAGATTTTTTCTTATGGTTGATTTCTAGTTTCATACGGTTGTGGTTGAAAAAGATGCATGGTATGACTTCCATCTTTTTAAATTTGTTGACGCTTGTTTTGTGGAATAAAATGTGATCTATTCTGGAGAACGTTCCATGTGTACTTGAAGAGAATGTGTATTCTGTCTGCTGTTTTAGGATAGAATATTCTGAACATGTTAAATCCATCTATTCCCATATGTAATTCAAAGCCAGTTTGCCCTGTTGCTTTACTTTGTTTAGATGATCTGTCCATCGATGTAAGTGGGATGTTAAAGTCCCCTACTCTTACTGTATTACTATCACATAGTTTATGTTTGTTACTGTTTTACATATTTGGGTGCTGTATTTGGGTGCTGCCATATTGGGTGCATAACGATTTACAACTGTTAGATCTTGTTGGATTGTTTCCTTTATTATTATATAGTGTACTTGTCTCTTTTTATAGACTTTGGTTTATAGTCTAGTTTGTCTGATATAAGTACTGCTAACCTCAGCTTTCTTTGACATCCATTTGCATGATATTCTCCATTCCTTCACTTTGAATCTTCATGTGTCTTTAGATCTGAAATGAGTCTCTTGTACGCAGCATATAGATGGGTCTTTTTTTTTTTTTAATCTATTCTGTCACCCTATGTCTTTTGATTGGAGCATTTATTCCATTTACATTTAAAGTGATCACTGATAGCTACGTACTGGCATTTTGTTACTTGTTTTGTGGTTATATTTGTAGTTTTCTGATTCTTTTGTGGTTTGTTGGTTTTCTTTAGTGACAGATTCTTTATTCTTTATGTTTTGCTTTTCTATTGTTTGATTTCTGGTTACCATTCAGTTTATATCTAACATCTTCTGCATATGCAGCAGTCTACATTAAGCTGAGGGCTGCTCAATGTTAAACTCATTCTTTACTCCTCCCCTCCATGTTTTAGATATATGGTATCCCATTTTACATCCTTTTGTGAGTCCCATAACTGATTTTTTTTTTTTACAGAAATACTTATTCTTACTACTTTTGTGTTTACTTTTCACACTCTGACTTATCAACTTTTCTTTCCATGGAGTTTCCTTTAACATTTCTTGCAGGTCTGGTTTAGTGGTCATAAACTCCTGTAGTTTTTGTATAGGAAACTTTTGTTCTCTCCTTCTATTCTGAATGATGGCTTTGCTGGATAGAGTACTGTTGGCCGCAGACACTTCCTCCTTTCAGGATTTTGAATATATTATGCCACTTCCTTCTGGCAAGTTTCTGCTAAAAAAAATCTGCTAATAGCTTTATGGGGTTTCCCCCACTTAACTGTCCTCTTTTCTCTTGCAACCTCTAAATTCTCTACCACTGTTTCTGGCCATTTTAATTACTATGCATGATGGTGCAGGCCTCTTTGGGTTGATTTTGTTGAGGAATCTCTGCCTCCTGAAACTGGCTGTCTTTCCCTCCAGATGTAGGAAACTTTCAGCTGTTATTTGTTCAAATACATTTCTATCCCCACCTTCTTCTGGGATCCCCATAATGTGAATATTACTATGCTTAATGAGGTCACTGACTTCCCTATTCTCATTATGCAGTATTTGTCTCTCATTTGCTCAGCTTGATTGCTTTTCATTACTGTATCCTCCAGGCTTGGATACATTCCTCTCCTTCCTGTAGCCTATTTATTCCATCTGTTGTACTTCTGGTTTCATTTACTGAGTTCATCTCTGATGTCCTCCATTCTTTTCTCGAGTCCAGTGAGTATCTTTATGATCATTAATTTGAATTCTCTTTCAGACTAATTTCTGTTTTGCTTAATTCTCCTACTGTGTTTTTATCATGGTCTTTCATCTGGGACATATTCCTCTGCCTCACATTGTCTGTTTCTATGGGTTTGGATGTCTCTTGCTCTTGAAAGTAGTGGTTCTATGAAGAAGAGGTCCTGTAGTACCCTGCAGTGTCCCCTGTTCACCAGGACCTGGCACTTCAGGGGTGTCTCCTATGTGTGTTGCTTGCACCCTATTGTGTCTGAGTATCCTTTGCTTTCGGTCCAAACTTCTGTACTGACTCTGCCTGTTGTGGGTTGTGCTTACTCTCTGTGGTATTAGGGAGACCCAAGCAGGATGGCTCTGAGGGGAAGTGACTGTATGAGGGCTCAAGGGTGGGATGACAGTATTAGCAAAAATTGCATCGAGTTACTAGTCTTAGGCTATATTCCCGAAAGCACAATGGTGGCTAGGGGCGTGGCAAGGGTTATACAAGCAGCTGAGGTGGCAACAATGGGCAGTTGGCATGTGGTGTTAACAAAATTTGCACTGAGCTGTGAGTCCTAGGCTGATTCCCCAAAGCAAAGCGGGAGCCAGGGATACAGAACACAAGAGTGGCTGTGACCTGCGGTTGTACAGGGCACACACACAACATTAGCAAAATTTGCACTGAGCTATGAATCCTAAACCAGATCCCCTAAAGAAATGTGGTGGCCACAGGGGCATGGTGCACAGGATATTAATAGAATTTACGATAAGCCCAGAGCCAAGGGCAACAGGCTTGGAGTGAGCAAGTCCTCAGGAGAATACATGAACTTGACACACTGCTAGTAGATTAGCAAGGGTCTGTACAGCCTCACTTCTCACAGGTGGCCCTGTGTTTATACTGGGGGGTTGGGAGAGGAAATTGGCACCTGCCAGTTCCTTTGTTCCCAGAGAAGTCCCCTCAACATGCTTGAAATCAGTATCAACAGATGTCCCTCCTTTTGTGCAACCTGTCACTTCTATGTTGATTCTCCTTAGCTGCTCTTTAGGGGCAGGCCCTGATTATCACTCGCCCAATGCTGAAGTGGCTGACTTTTAAAGCCCTAGGCTCCAAACCCCGCTGGTTATACAACTCACAGAACTCAGCTCCTCTGGTTTCAAAGCAAGATGTTACAGGGATTTCCTTTTTCTGTGTGGGCTCACCCTCTCCCATGACCACACCTCCTCGTCATTCCTTTCCGGCAGCTCCTGCCGACCGTTTCTGCCCATCATAATCTCTCAGATGTGGCTGCTCTCTATTTAGTTGTCTCCGGAGCCTGTTCTGCCAGATCACTCTCCAGTTCACTGATGTGGATGTGAGTGATCTCAAGCTGTAAACATGGAATGGGGTGAGCTGAGGTCCTCCTCCACTATCTTGTGCTCCCCGCCCCCACAGTCACCTAGTTTCATAGTGAAAGCAGATGTGGAGAATGTCTGCATCAGCATTGCCAACTAGGTCTTGCAAGTGAACTGTATCGGTGGGACTCCAATGGCAGCATTTTATAGGGCTGGGCTGGTGTTTAGAACTGGCTCATCATGCATGTCTTCTGTGTTGCAATAAGATATGCATTAATGTGTCAGTGAAGGATGGAAAGTAGTCTTGTAAAGGAGGTCTTGGTTGTGGGGACATCTAAGGACTGACTACTGGGCAGGTACGACCAACCTTTCACAAGGTGCCTGTAGTGATTCTGACCAACGTTTTCTCTCCAGCAGAACCAGGGACAGAATTCCAGCCATGTGGCCATTCCTGCCCGGTGGCCTTTTCCAGTCCGCAGTTCCTCGAAGAGTATGTGCTGTGCAGGCACCTTCCTCAGATCTTCACAAGTTCATACGCAGGAAGCCCCATCCCAAAAGAAGCTCCCAGCTGCTCAAGTGAACAAGGTGACAATGAAGAGACGGAAGGGAGACTCGGGCTGAGCGGGGTTTCCCGGGTGCTCTTTGGACCCTCTCAGGGTCGGCAGGTAGACTGGGTGGAAGGCAACAGAGCTAGGGGAGTAGACCAGGGGATGTGTCCTGAGGAGGCTGACCTTTCAGCATCTGGAGCAGCCATGTATGGGAAATACAGACTGGGACTTGGTCCCAAATCCAGTCTCTTAAGCCTCCGGAAGCATCACGTATGCCCTGAATGCGGCAGAGGCTTCTGCCAGAGGTCAGACCTCACCAAGCACCAGAGGACACACTCAGGGGAGAAGCCTTATAGCTGTAGGGAGTGCGGGCGAGGCTTTGGCCGCAAGTCCTCCCTCACCATTCACCAGAGGAAGCACTCCGGGGAGAAGCCGTATGTGTGCCGGGAGTGCGGCCGCCACTTCAGGTACACGTCCTCACTTACCAACCACAAGAGGATACACTCTGGGGAGAGGCCCTTCGAATGTCAGGAATGTGGACGAGGCTTTCGCCAAAAGATTGCCCTCATCCTGCACCAGAGGACACACTTGGAGGCGAAGCCCTTTGTGTGTCCTGAGTGTGGGAGAGGCTTTTGCCAGAAAGCATCACTCCTGCAACACCTGAGCTCACATTCCAGTGAAAGACCCTTCTTGTGCCTTGAGTGTGGGCGTGGTTTTAGGCAGCAGGCACTGCTCCTCAGTCACCAAGTCACACACTCAGGGGAGAAACCTTACATCTGTGCTGAGTGCGGGCATGGCTTTCGCCAGAAGGTCACCCTCGTCAGACACCAGAGAACACACACAGGGGAGAAGCCTTACCTGTGCCCAGAGTGTGGGCGCGGCTTTAGCCAGAAGGTCTCCCTCATGGGACACCAGAGGACACATACAGGGGAGAGGCCTTATCTGTGCCCTGAGTGTGGGCGTGGCTTTGGCCAGAAGGTCACCCTCATCCGACACCAGAGGACACACACAGGGGAGAAGCCCTACCTGTGCCCGGAGTGTGGACGTACCTTTGGCTTCAAGTCGCTCCTCACCAGACACCAGAGGACACACTCAGGGGAGGCGGCTGATGTGTACAGAGTGTGTGAACAAGGACTGGGCCAGAAATCTCACTTCACCTCTGACCAGAGGACACACTCACGGGAGAAGCCCTGTGTGTGCGGTGAGTGTGGGCGTGGCTTTGGCTTCAGGTCGGCTCTCATCAGACACCAGCGTACCCACTCAGGAGAGAAGCCATATGTGTGCAGGGAGTGTGGCCGAGGCTTTAGCCAGAAGTCTCACCTCCACAGACACAGGATGACCAAGTCCGGCCATCGCCTCCCACCTCAAGAGCTGCTTTCCTGACCTTCCCTTTCCTCACGAGTGTGAAGATGGCAGAAAGCACTAGGAAACATTTTGCTTTCCTCAAATGCAGTGGAGGAATAAAAGAACACATTGATTTATGGTTTATTTTCTGTACTAGCAATGTGTTTTGATTTGCTAAAGCTGCCATTAAAAAAAACACCACAAACTTGACGGCTAAAGAACAGTTTTCACACAGTTCTTGGGACTGAAGTCCAGGATCAATGTGTGCACTTTGGTTTTGACTGAAGCCTCACTCTCTCCTCAGCTGGCAGACACCTGCATTCTTACTGTGTCCCCACATGGCTTTTGTGCGTGCACTTTCCTGGTGTCTCCCCTTCTTCTAAGGACACCAGACTTACTGGGTTAGAGTCCACATCCTATGACCAAAGGAGGTTGCACTGGGGGTTCTGGCTTCAAGGTATGAATTTGGAACAGTTCTGTCCCTAATACTCCACCCCCAAAATTCATGTTCTTACATCCATAAAACATTCTTCAAAGCTCCCAAAGTGCTAACCCATTCCAGCACTGCCTCTATCCAAAATCTCCTTTAAATCAAGTGTGGGTGAGGCTAGGGGTATATTTCATCTTAAGGCAAAGTTTCTCTCCAGCTGTGAATCTGTGAACCAGACAAGTTGCCACAGATGTCGTATTCACATTCCCTTTCCACAAGGGGAGAGAAGAAGAAACTGATGGGCCCCAAGCACATCTTTGACCTAGCAAGCAAATTCTGTTAGGTTTTACAGCTTGAGAAAAATCTCTGCTTGGATGTTCTGCCCTCTGGTCCCGCTGGGGTAGCAGCATGCAGCCCTCCTTAGACCATGGAGGCAGTCACCCTCTGAGTCCACTGTGGGAATGGCAGACCTGCTCTGTTTTCACCACGAGGTTTCACTGCTTCCTCCTCTTGGTGGATACCACCACAGAGGTCTGACCACTGACCTTCACTGTGTCCCATCTGCATATCCTAAGTTCAGCCTCACAGTTTCCGCTGAGGGTTGACTGGTTCAAAACTAATCTCTATCAAATGACTATCCAGCAATACCACTGGCATTCTCTCCAGAACATGCATTCTCATTTTGCAATACAGATAGGTTGAAAATTCTCTAAATCTTCAAGTTGCAGCTTCTGTTTGCTAAGCAGTTCCTTCGATTCACTTCCCTCATCACATTTTTCTATGAGAAGAAACAGGTTATGACTTTCATCACTTGGCTAAGAATTTGTCACTCCTGTTACTTAAGATTCCTACCTTGTATGAAAGACTGGGATACAACTCAGCCACATTCTTTGCTGCTATATATATAACAAGGACTGCCTTTCCTTCAGTTTCTAGTAATGTTCCACATTTCTGTCTGAAGCTGGGGCAGAATCACTTCTAATGCCCCTTTTTCTACTATAGTCTCTTTAAGGCAATCCCAGCTTTCTCCAGCGAGCACCTCAAAGCTCTTCCACCCTCTACCCATCACCTAATTCCAAAACCACCTCTATAGGTTTTCACTCCCAGTGAAAGAAAACTAAGAATTTGCTGCTAGCCAACCTGACGTTAAGAAATGGCTAAAAGGAAATTCTTCAAATAGGGAAAATGATAAAAGAAATACTGGAGCATCAGGAAGGAAATAGCACCCCACTCTCAGTACCAAAGCTGTATTCTTTTGTCAGGGCCGCCATAACAAAAGCAGAGAGAGACACAAAGTCCAAGATCACCCTGACCTACTGAAGCCTCACCTCCTGGATGGCGGCTGGTGCATTCTCCTCACCTGGTATTTCCCCTCCCTGCATGTGTGCCAGAGAGCAAGTGAGCTCCGGTGTTTCTTACCCTTGTAAGGATGCCAGGCCTAGCAGATCAGGGCTTCATCCTTAAAACATCACTTAACTTTCATTACTTCCTTAGGTCCTGCACCCAAACACTGTCACATTAGGAAAAGGGCTTCGTCATCAAGGACTTTTGGGGCAAAATTCAATTCATAACACTCTACTCTCTGGGCCCCCCTCCCCCTCCAATTCCTACCTGGCCTTCAGCCCCTGCCATCAAGGATCCTGACCTTTCCTTTCCCATGGGTGTGAAGCCAGCAGGAAGCAGTGGGCTGTGCTGCACTTTCCTGAAGTAGAATACAGGAAGCACGCTGGTCCTCTGAGTGGCTGAAGGGGGAGGGGAGCTGGACATGGCTGTTTTCTCAGCCCGCCTGCACACCTAGAGACCTATCTCCCTTACTGGTAGACACCATGGCGTCCTGACATATTAGCAGCTCAACCTGTGACGTTTTTTCCTCTCTTGGGCCAGAGCATCCCTTCTATCTAGAGACACCAAGCAACCTGTTTTAGGGAAACTCCTTCCACACTCCCAACAGCAGCAGTGAAAAGTGGGAGGACCAGTGGTACCAAATAAGCCAAGTAGACCTACATTGCAAGAGCTCTGAAAGCTACACTGTCACTGTATCAAACAGAGCCCACAAAAGTAGTCTGCAGTCTGGGAGCTAGTCTTAAAACAGGGTGACTGCCTGGTCACCCTGTTAAAGAGGACCCAGAAGTTCTTAAATGAGAAAAGACAATCAACTGATACCAATGCTGAGATAAGCAGGACAATGGAATGGTCTGACAGGGATATCAAAGCAGCCATCATAAAAATGCTTCAAGCAATCACATGTTCTCTTGAAACAAATAAAAAAAGTACAGTATCAGCAACAACCAAAAAGCCAGTTACACCAAAGTTCAAGTGGAAATGATTAAACTAATAACTAGAAGAGAAATTTAAAAACTAACTGGATGGGCTTAAGGGTAGAGTTGATATGGCAGAAAATGGAATTGGGAGAATTGGAAGGCAGATCAATTAAATTTAGAATATCTGAACAACAGAGGAAAAAAAACTGGGGAAAAAAAAAAGCCAGAATCTCTGGGACAAGAAAAAAAGATAACATTTGTGTCATCAGAATCCCAGAAAATGAGAAAAGAAGTGGAATTGAGAAAATATTTGAAGAAATAAATGCCCCGAAACAGCTCATATTTGCCAAGAGACAGAAATATACAGATTCAAGAAGTCAAGTGAACACTAAATAAAACAAATCCTAAGAATCCTAAGAAATCCACACTAAGACATCGTAATTAAAATTCTGAAATCTAAAGGAAAAAAACTATTGAAAGCAATCCCAGAGAAATTACTTACTACCTATAGGGAGACAATTCAAATGACAGATTTCTCAGGAAATCATGGAGGCCACAGGGAGGTGGCATGACATTTTTCTTCCAGTTGCTGAAAGAAGATTGTTAACTGCAGAGTGAATGAATATCTACCAAAACTATCCTTCAAAAATGAAGGCAGAATTAAGCACATTCCCAGTGAAAGAAAACTAAGAATTTGCTACTAGCAGATCTGACCTTAAGAAATGGCTAAAGGGAAATTCTTCAAATAGAGAAAATGATAATAAAAGAAATACTGGAGCATCAGGAAGGAAAAAAATATCATGGAAAGAGCACAAATAGGATTATATAAATTGGCCATCCTTCCACCCACAGAGTTTTAAAAAAATTTTTGTGTGTTTTTGAGAGCACGCACACGCAGGTGAGGGGGGAGAGAGGGAGAGACGGAGAGAGAGAGAGAGAGAGAGAGAGAGAGAGAGAGAATCTGAAGCAGGCTCCAGACTCCCGAGCCATAAGCACAAAGCTGGATGTAGGGCTCAAATTCACAGACCAGGAGATCATGACCTGAGCCGAAGTCAGACACCTAACCTACTGAGCCACCCAGCTGCCCCCACCCACGGGTTTCTAAAGTCACATGTGTTAAGTTGTAATATCACCTGATACTCTAGACAATGGTTTAAAAGTGGGGACAGTAAAGGGGCCTAACAAAAGTAACATTTACACACTTTGCTCCAAGTGGTAATATACTAATAGACTGTGAAAAAGCACATTATATGTATTATAATACCCAGAGGAACCACTAAGGAAACTATACAAAAAGATACACTAGCAAACATGAGGAATGAATCTAAATGGAATCCTAAACAACAATCAACCCACAGAAAAGAAAGAAAAGAGATACAGAAAAATGAGACCTAGAGAAAACAAATTTAAATTCAGTAATAAAATAGCCAACTTAAGCCCTAACACATCAGCAATTACTTTATTACCTTAATATTGATTCTAATTATGCTAATCAGAAAACAAAGACTGTGAGAGTGGGTTAAAAAAAATGCAACCACTAACTTTAAAAAGCATATGTTCCCACATTACTATCAAATACAGTAAACTTCACAGCAAAGAAACCGACTAGAAACAGAGGGATGTTATATAGTAATAATGGGATCAATCCACCAAGAAGGTATAACCTAAATACGAATAAACCAAATAACAAAATGCATGAAGCAAAAACTGATAGAGCTGAAACAAAAACAAAAAAATCATTATTGTTGAGGACTTGAGCACTACTCTTTGAGCAGCTGAGGACTACAGAACAAAAGTCAACAGGGATGTAGTAGATCTAAGTATGATAATGAATCACCAGGATCTAATGACATATAGATCATTCCATTCAAAACTAACAATGTTTTTCAACACCATTCACCAAGACAGTCCATACATCCTGGCTCACAAAACACACCTCAACAAATTTAAGATAACTGAAACCATAAAGAGTATATTATTCTTTTGTTTTTTAGTTCTTTTTTTTATTATTTATTTTGAGAAAGACAGAAACAGCATGAGGGAGGGAGGGGCAGAGTGAGAGGGAGACAGAGAATTCCAAGCAGACTCCACACTGTCCGCACAGAGCCCAATGTGGGGCTCCAACTCATGTAACAGTGAGATCATGACCTGAGCTGAAACCAAGAGTTGGATGCTTAAATGACTGACCTACCCAGGCTCCCCATAAGGAGTTTATTCTTTAGCTACAATGGAATCAAACTAGACATCAATAGGATGCCTGGGTGGCTCAGTCGGTTAAGCATCCAACTGCAGCTTAGGTCACGATCTCATGGTTCATGGGTTTGAGCCCTACATTGGGCTCTGTGTTAACAGCTAGCTCAGAGTCTGGAGCCTGCTTCAGATTCTGTATCTCCCTCTCTCTCTGACCCTCCCCTGCTCATGCTCTCTCTCAGAAAAACAAACAAACAACTAGACATCAATAACAGCAACAAAAGGAAAACTTACAAAGACTTTGCAATGTAACAACATAGTACTACACCATGGGTCAAAC